CACTCTAACAACAACTCCAGGAGGCCCCTCTTGTTTGTCATTACTTTCTCTTAAAGTTGCTGTAGACATTGCCATTCTGGTCCATAAGAGTTAGCAGGTACTCTGGAAAGGTTCTGTGATATATTACCTGAGGAAAGATTCTCAGGTCTTGAGACTACTTTTTTATTATTTTACATATTGGCATATGTAGTCTACCTTCCTTTTTTAAAAGGCTCTCAGGAAGATATGGATGGACAATGCTACTTACTAGTCAACATTGCTGTTTTAAGATCAATGGTGGTAGCAAAGGAGAAAAATGGAATGGTTGAAGAGGAAAAATCATGTTGATCTACTTCCTTTTAGATAGGGGAAGGCTCAGAAGTGCTTATTAGTTGACAGACTAATAAGAGTTAGAAGGGACCTTGGAGGTCATCTAGTCCAGGGGTCTCCAACCCCCGGTCCATGGACCAGTACCACACCACAGTATGCTAGCAACTGGTCCACACAAACAAGCAAAGCCCCATTTGTGAAATGCAGGCAGCACACAAAACCATGCACCCTCTAGTCCACAGAAAAACCTCTCTCCAGGGAACTGGTCCCTGGTGCCCAAAAGATTGGGGACCTCTGATCTAGTCCAACCACCTGCATGAGCTGGAAACCTTATACCATTTCAGACAAATGGCTCTCCAGTCTGTTTTGAAAGCCTCCAGTGATGGGGCACCCACAACTTCTGAAGACAAGCAATTACACTGGTTGATTGTTCTCACTTTCAGGAATTTTTTTCTTAGTTCTAGATTGCTTCTCTCCTTGATTAGTTTCCATCCATTGCTTCTTGTCTTGCCTTCTGGTGCTTTGGAAAATAGATTGCCCACCTCATCTTTGTGGCAGCCCCTCAAATATTGAAACACTGTTATCATGTCTCCCCTAATCCTTCTTTTCACTAGATTAGAAATACCCAATTCCTGCAACTGTTCTTCATGTTTTAACCTCCAGCCTCCTAATCATCTTTGTTGCTCTTCTCTGTACTTTTTCCAGAGTCTCGGCATCTTTTTTATATTGTGGTGATCAAAATTGGATGCAACATTCCAAGTGTGGCCGCACTAAAATTTTGTAAAGTACTAATATTTCATATGAACTTGATTCTATCCCTCTATTAATACAGCCTAGGATTGCATTGCCCTTTTTGGCAGCTGCCTCACACCATTGGCTCATTTTTAAATGTTTGTCCACTTGGACTCCAAGATCCCAATCATTGTTACTGGCATTGAGCCAAGTGTCACTTAGTCTGTACCTATATAGTTGGTTTTTCTTGCATAAGTGTAAAACCTTACTCTTTTCTATATTGAATTTCATTTTGTTAGATAGGGCTCAATGTTCAAGTCTATCAAGATCCTTCTGGGGTATTGACTATTCCTGCCAGCTTAGTGTCATCTGCAAATCTGATGAGTTCCCCTTCTATTTTCTCATTAAGATCATTTCTGAAGATATTAAAGAGTACTGGGCCTAAAACAAAACCTTGAGGTACCTCAACACTTACTTCTCCCCATGTGGATGCAGTTCTGTTGAAGGTTACACACTGAATATGGTTTGTCAGCATCCATCCATGGTGATGATACTGTCTATCCCACATTTTTCTAGCTTACCAAGAAGTAGGTTGTGGTCTACCTTGTCAAATCCCTTACTGAGATTTAAGTATACTATGTCCACAGAATTTCGCTGACCCACTAATTATTATACTAATTAAGTGTGCTAGAGAAAGTCCAAGCCTCCATAGAGGGAATATAAATGTGACTAGTGTGCTTACTTACCATATGAGTAAAAAGTAGTATATATGGACAAGAAAGCTATGTATTGCTCTGCAATCCTCTGGATAATTGAAGATTTATTGAAGGGGAGGTATCCAGCTGGCCAGGGTTCAGTTATTCTCTCAAATATGTAATATTTCCAGCTTTATATACATGTTATTTATGTGTCTATATCAATGTTTTTAAGTTTAGTAACTTTAAGATGTCTGAACATCAAGTCCCAAGACTGGCTGGGAAATTCTGGAGTTGAAATCCACGCATCTTAAAGTTGCCAAGCCTGAGAAAGACTGATCTATTCTCTGCAGCTCAATAGTTTTTCAGTATGACTTGGGGGGGATGATGCCCAAAACATTTTTAAAGAATCTGTTCACCCTGTATCTAGGAATTATCTGAATTTTCCAGGGAATTTCTCTCCCTAAAAGAAGAACAAAAAGGTCATATCTTTCAATCTTAGTAAAGAATGATTGCTTATTAACACTAATTCTTTGGGTTAGTATCTATACAGTGCATTAACTAATGCTTTTGGTCAAGGCTGGAATGTTTGCACAGCACGGTACAGCACTAAGCTAAAGGGAGACAGAGTACACTAAAGACATAGAGAGAAAGGGCATTGTCTTGTATATGAGTAAAAGAGAGGGAAAAAGAGATTTATTCCTATATTATTTCAGTTTGTTACTCTGATGTGGTATTTAAATTAGACACTTCCAATGTTTTTAATTCACGCACAGATATTTAAAATTATTCTGTTCATTAGAGTTTTCAGATCTGGAATATAAAAATCTGGATGGACAACAAATGGCAGCAAAGAGACACAGAAATGTTTAATTGGATTTTTGTGGCCCAAATCTGTAAGCCTACTTTGCACTTATTTTTCCTTTTATGTTTTTATTTTTTATTCTTAATATTTATCCTCTCAGATTTCTTATTTATATTTATTCAAATTAAATCAAATTTTAATTGTCATCAAAGATCAGAAATTATTTACAACACAAATAATATATAGAAGTGCTAAATTTCAGTTAATGAGAAATAACTAAGTAGAAAATATGAATTATAAATCAGCAGATAGTCAGACTCTGCATAGAAGAAGTCAGGAAAGCAAAGGCTCAGAATGAACAAAGACTTGCAATAAAAATCAAAGATAACAAAAAAGTTTCTTTCAACATATAAATAAGAAAAAAATCAAGGAAACAGTCGGTCCACTAAAGAGAGAAGATGGCAAGGAAGTAAAAGGCAGCAGAGAGAAAGCAGAGCTATTTAATTCATTCTTTGCATCGGTCTTCACGCAAAAAGAAATTATAGCCAAACCCACCAAAAACATAACTGAATAAGACAGGCTAGAAATAAAAGCCACAATAAACAAAAAAAATGGTAAGAGAATGCCTGTCTGATCTTTATGAACATAAATCACTGGGACCTGACGGACTATACTCCAGAGTTCTGAAGGAGCTGGCAGAGGTCATCTCAGAACCACTGTACCATATCTTTCAAAACTCCTGGAGCACCAGGGAACTACTAGAGGATTGGAAAAGAGCTGATGTGGTTCCCATCTTCAAAAAAGGAAAAAAACAAACAAACCTAGGAAACTACAGACCAATCAGCCTAACATCAATACCTGGGAAGATACTGGAAAAGATAATCAAAAAACAGATCTGCGATCATCTACAAACAAACAAAGTTATAACTATAACCAACTATAAACAACCTTATTTCATTCTTTGATCAAGTGACTAAATTGGTGGACCAGCAGAATTCTGTGGACATGGTATACTTGGACTTCAGCAAGGCATTTGACAAAGTAATCCACAACCTACTTCTTTGAAAGCTTAAAAATAGTGGGATAGACAGTATCACCATCAGATGGATTTTTAACTGGCTGACAAACTGCACTCAAAGAGTAGTCCTTAATGGTACTAATTCTACATGGAGGGAAGTAAGCAGTGGAGTACCGCAAGGTTCTCTCCTAGGCCCAGTACTCTTCAACATCTTCATAAATGACCTAGACGAGGGAATAGAAGAGGAACTTATCAGGTTTGCTGATGAAACTAAGCTGGCAGGAATGGCCAACACTCTGGATGATAGGCTCAAGATCCAGAGGGATCCTGACAGACTTGAACACTGGGCCCTATCTAACAAAATGAAATTCAATGTAGAGAAAAGTAAAATCTTATACTTGGGCAAGAAAAACCAAAAGTACAAATATAGATTGGGTGAAATCAGGCTTAATAGGATCTTGGAGTCTTAGTGGACAATCAATTAAATATGAGCTAATAGTGTGCAGCGACAGCCAAAAAAGGCACTGCAATCCTAAATTGCATTAACAGAGGGATTCAATCAAGATCACGTGTGGTACTAATACCATTCTATAAAGCCTTAATAAGATCACACCTAGAATACTGCAATCAATTTTGGTCTCCACACTATAAAAAAGACATTGAGACTCTGGAGAGAGTGCAGGGAAGAGCAACAAGGATGATTAGCAGAGTGTAGACTAAAACATATGAAGAACGGTTACTGGAACTGGGCATGACTAGTCTAGTGAAGAGAAGGACCAGGAGAGACATGATAGCAGAAGTATGAAGTTTCCAACGCAACATAACACTATACTTTTATTACACTAAATGTGGTAAAAAAAAGGACAATGAGAACAGTCACTTTAAGAAAACAAGCAAAAACAATCATATTTAGACAAGTGCTTTTGGCTGACTATTGTAATATAGAGATCAGACACAGACAGCCTTATAACATTCTGTGTTAGATTATTCCATCTGAAGCTACCATTTGACCCACCCAAAAATCAAATGTGAATTTAAAATATATGACACAATTAGACATTCACCTCCTAATTAATTTCACATTTTTTGATATTCAGTAAAATTAATTGCCATAAGCTTCAGGCTCAAATATATACAGTTGTTTTTAATAGATATGTATGAGATGAACAAAATTAAACACCTGAATGTTTTGAATTAGATCCCTATGAATGAACAGATTAATTCTGAAGAAATGGTGAAGCAAAGTCTCGGTCTTCTAGATATGCAAAGATAAAGGATGGCTCTTCCACACAAAATAATCAGATACAAAAAAATAGCTATTTAGAAGCAGCATACCTATGACTAGTTTAATCAAACATTTAGGTTACCTGCCAAAAGAACCATGATCTCTTCAAAATGCAATGTGGATTAAAGTGTTATCTACCATGAACAGAAAACTAACCTTGGAGTGGAAGTTTGAGATGTGTTCATCATAATTTTCATGTCTTTGGATAGAAAAACCAGCCTTTTCAGCTAGACTGCAGAACTGGTTTAGAGTATCTCCTCTAAGTGGAGCAAATATCAGAGCTTTCCCCTAAAACATTAAGAACATTTATTTGTTTTTATTTAAATTATAACATAACATTGATAAAATTGTTAACACATTATTAAAATTGGCAATGGAATAAAAAAAATAGGAACAGGAAAATCTTGAAAAATATGCTAGAAAGTAAATTTTACCAAACATAAATAATTGCACTTGACTGTTACTAAATTTATTTTATCTTTTCCACAGAATTTTGTCTAATTATCCTATTAAGTTGCTAAAGAAATCACTATAAGCTGTAAAGAAAATTGATCCATAGTCATATTTAATTTTTGTTAGAATTGAGGTAACTATACAAATGGTGTTGCATGTAAAACTGTATAAATGGGATGTGCTTTCACATTGAATTTTCTACACTTCTCCTTCCCTTACAGCTACCAGAAAATATTCTTCTAGTGTTTGTGGGAATTACAAAAATATCTTGGATGAGGAACAGAGGAGCAGTAGTAGAGGAAAAGGTAACAGAAACAACTGGGTCTTGCATAATGTGTGCTTTGCTTGCTTTAGAGATTTACATCAGATTTTTTCCAATGAATGTCTGTTAACATTGTCCCATGTGCTACATATCAGGACTTTGCTGTGGACCCCAAATATTCCTGAAAGTTTTATCAGAACTGGAAAGGAATAGAGAATGTAGAAAAACTCATGCTCAGAGCATCCTTCTCTTGGCATAAATTTGGGATTTAATCCAATAAATTTAACCACTCTACAGTATATCTATGTTTCTACTGCTTCAATATATCTATGGAGATTCTTAGTCATCCAAAGGTGCTTTGGTTATCCCAAAGGTGCTTTTTTTTCATGAAGCAACTGGACTTCCTTGTTTTTCTTTGAAGATGTTTTGCTTCTTATCCAGTCAGAGCTGAAGAAGCTTCTTGGATGAGAAGCAAAATGTCTTCAAAGGAAAACAAGGAAGTCCAGTTGCCTCGTGGGGGGAAAAAAAGCTTCAATATAGATTTTCACAATGAAACAATATTGATAATGGGTTCAATTTGTATTTAGCAGTGCTCTTTAATGCACCAAGAAAATGCAAGTCTCCCTATTGGTGCATTTTGGTATGAAGTGCTCCATTATGGAGAAATAATAGATTCATAATGCAGTAAGAAAATCCCTGCAAAAAGATTTTTTTTAAATCACTGAATTCAAAGGCAGGAATTATAAGTCAACAGAAGGATACACATTGTTTTCACTGGAATCATATAGACCATAGGTGGCGATTCTTGTGCTCCAAGCAGCTTCCAAATCAGTTTTACCAGTCCCAGGACCCCCAGGATTGTATCACTGAAACTTGGCAAGAAATTGCCAAACATCAAGTTTGGGATTTCCAACTGATTTCTGCTAAGAAACCAAAGAAATAGGGTATATTAAGCTTTTGAATCAATAACAAGAAATAAGCATCTCCTCTCCCTGGTTTGCTAACTTGCATGAATCATCGTATCTCATGCAGACTCTAGGTGTTCACATGATTAAATATGGCCTGAACCTTAAAAAGATACAGAGATTTCATAAAAATAAAATAGGGCACTTTAACAATTATGGCTCCAAATCTTAAGTCTCAGACATAGAAGAAAAAGATACTCAATTCCTTGTCAAAGTGAAGTACATTTTCTAAACCAAAGAAAAGTTTTAGTTAATATTGACTCCAGCCTATGTAAATAAATATACTTTTGGTTAAGTGTTCTGTATTAGATTTAGGAATACTGAAGCAAATACTGGACAAGCAGAAGGGCTTACTAGCCAGCCATCAACACCTCAATCAACATCTAAAAAGCCACATACAACAGGCACCATATAAATATCAACATACAGAACAGCCCCAAACCACACTTTGCTAGAGAGAAGCTCCCTGAAGATCAGCTCCAGTACGAGTCTGAAAGATTGGAAGACAAAACCACTGGTCTCGGTGACTGACCCAGATTAGATCCTGCATTTTAGGCATTCTGCAGTGTAGTTTGTGAGGTATATTTGAACTATTGGCAATTTACTATCAAATATTGTATCTTAAGAGCTGTGGTGGTGCGGTGGTTAGAATGCAGTATTGCAGCCTAATTCTGCTGACTGCCAGCAGATTGATCCTGACTGGCTCAAGGTTGACTCAGCCTTCTATCCTTCTTAGATTGGTAAAATGAGGATCCAGATTGTTGGGGGGGGGGAGCTACTCTGTAAACTGCCTAGAAGTGCTATTGCTGCTATGTCTATTTTCCTACTATGTCTTTTACCATTCATTTTTCTCACTATGCATATGTATACATAACCCGAATTAGACTGTTTCTCCGTGTCATATAATATATGTTGGTATATGCATAAGTGTAAGTTGGAGGTGGTGACCCTTTGAGATGCAACAAAATTTCATTTTAATGTATGCTGATTAGTGTACCGTAAATGCCGGCGTACAAGGCGACCCGGCGTATAAGACGACCCCCGTCTTTATAGCCGGGCCGCATTCCTAGAATGTCGTCTTATACGCCGGAAACTACCAGTATTTCCGGCGTATAAGACGACTCGGCATATAAGACGACCCCCGTCTTTGGCGCCGATTTCAGCACTCGCGGAAGTCGCCTTATACGCCGGCATTTATGGTACATTCAAAGTGACAATAAAGTTAATATTCTATTCTGTTCTGTTCTGTTCTATTCTATTCTACCAAAAGACCAGCCAGCTCCATGACTTTTAAACTGGTAAAAAGCAAATTAATGCAAAAAGAATGAATAGAATACATAATTCAGCATTGTGCAATTATCGGAGAAGATTTATATCTTCACATAGGGTGTTACATACAACCACTTCATATGGAATGTTATAGGTTCCTGTGCCATATGCCATGGACTTTTCTTAATACGAATGATTTTATATTTTTAAAGTATAATTTTAAATACTATACCTCACTTACATGGCAAAATCGTAGCTCCTTAAAATTATATCATCTCTAAATAAATAAATCTTGCTAGGTTAGTATTGCACAAAAGCCACCAAAGATTGTTGCTGCATTCTAAAACATACTTTCAAATAATTTAAAGGAATATTGAATTCTGAAAGACTTGGGAAGTGCTTTGATTTAGCTAAATACACTCTGTGCCATTCATCCAGGCCTTTTGCAGAGCCCATTTGTTTTTGTGAGAGATAAAATCAACCTGAAAAGTTTTATCTGAAGGTAGCTGGTTTGAAAAACACTGCCTTCTAACAAGATTTTTGCTCAGTTCAATATAAACCTACTCTTCCAGCTAATTAAACTTTGACTATTCTATTTGCACTGGATTTCCAAGTTTAATGTGATTAATCATTCTGGTATGGCTGCCTAAATTGCAGTTTTTGAATTTTGATCACCATTATTGCTTCTATTACAAAATTATTTGGGTCTTACTTATTGCTAAAATCCTAGGAGAATCCTGTAAAACTGGACATTTAGAGATATATGCAAAGAGATGGTGGCATTCCTATCTTCCTGGAGATTGCTCTAGAATGGAGGATCTAATACAAATCCTGTGTTATCAGCATATTGTCCCTGAAGCAAGGGCATAGCAAGCACTGAACTATTCACTTAGGGAAAGTGGCATTAAAAAAAAGCATATGAAAATGAACAGAAGGTTACAATGGCAAAATGAAATTCATTTTGGGAAAACACAAATGCAGTATTAATTCTTCAGGAGTGATTACTGAGGAAGATATAGTTCTATAAAGAATAATGCTGGAAAATGAAAATATTTAGGTGTTCTAGAGAAAACCGCAAGTATGAATTAAACATAACATTACACTGTAATATAGATAATATATTTTTGGCTCATTCTCGGATATAGTAAAAAAACACAAGTTGAGGACCATAGAGGCAAATATCTCACTAATGCTCAGAACTAAATATTAATAAAATCACTGTTTTTATGCCCTCTGTGAAATGAATAGTCTTTTGTCAAACAATAGGGAGAATTGTTTGGCTAGCCTCAGATGTCACAGAGGAATTCTCAGTGCACAGATTATAAGACCTGGATTTTTTATAAGGATGGATGGTAGCAAAAGGGTTTAGTATATACTACTCAGGAGATCAAGAATTTCCACTTGAAGGGAGTTCTCAGTGACCTGTCAAATGTAAAACTCTGCAATACAAGTCAAAATTACTCTATCAGCTCTATATGCATCCGCCAAAGACTTGCACTATGATGAGCTGTTCAGAAAACAATACTATTTTTCCAGTCAGAAATAATTATTTCTAAGTTCAGTGGAAGATTGAAGTTTAAGTCTTCAGTTCAGACTACCAACCCTGTCACTAAGTAGCATGGTCATTAAGTGAAACATGTGACCATGCCCAACTTCTGTCACTTCTATTGAGGTCATTAAATGCAGTCGTTGAGCCCAATGTCATGTAACTAGAACCTGTGACTTACTGCAGGCTTCCCCAATGATTTTGTTTGTTGGAAGCTAGCTGTGAAAGTTGTAAATGGCAATCACATCAATGTGGGATGCTGCAACCATTGTAAATGTCCACTGATTGCTAAGTACCCAAATCACGAACCTATAACCGTAGGTATGCTATTGTAGCCTTAGGTTCATAAATCTATTTTTTCAGCATTATCATAAATTTGAAAAGTCACTGAGAGAGGTAGTCATTAATCAAGGACTACCTGTATATTCTTCTGGTAGTTCAGAGAGCAGTCATCATCATCTCTAGATAAGGATATAAATAAAGTTAAATTAGAACAATAGACAAGAAAATACTCGAATGAGTATTTTCTTGTCTATTGAACTACAGAGTATGTGCCTTTAGTAGGTCCTCAGAATGTACTTTCCCTGAAACAAGCAGTCCTTTAGCATTTGGGCTTTTAACATTTCCATATATTCTGGATTCCTTTTCAAACTAGCTGTTGAAGGTCAAGAATAAGAAGCTGCGAGAGTCATTTTTTAAAAAAAATACTATTATTATTATTTAGTTGTTGAGGTACAACAAACAACTACAACAATAATATACTAGACAAGGTGGTTGAGATTGGCAATGCCTCGCTTCATAAAAAGATGTTTTTAATTTATTGTTATTCATCTCACTTCACAAATATGGCTTTGACAAGGTTAAGCTGTTTTTATTCTGGCAATAGCAGAAGAATTTCTTTTAAGCATAGACTGAAAGTATATTTCATATTCATTTATTTGCTAAGTGTTTCATACATTCAGAATCTGTTTCCAACCATCTTTAGGTCAGGTGAAGATTTTAACTTCTGCATCTATATGGATATGAAGATATTGTTTTGATATAAAAGAAAATTTCAACATATCAGAATTATTTATTCATTTCCTACAAAATTACTGTACTATACAATTCATTTAGTATAAGTTGCAGTAAAAATAGTACTTTGTAACAAATAAATACATAATTACAAAGGTTACTATTGAAGGGATTACACATGACAGAAGCTAACATAAAAAAATTTCAATATCAGAATTTTACTTTAATATAAAGACATTGTTATCAAAGGGAAATACTCAAGAAATGCTTTGATAAAAATAATCTCCCAGTATCTTTGAAGCAGTTTCATTTATTTTACTTCCCACTGTGTTCCTTATCAGAAGGCCAAGTATAAGAAGTTTTCTAGTTTATGATTAGGAAGGAATCTGATAGATTAGAAGACTCAATTGAAGTTGGACATAATAAGTATTAAAGTATTACATGACGTTAATCCTGCCATTCCATTACTCTCTCAATCACTGTGCACAGACTAATTATTCTGAAGCCCATGTTCAGGAGAAAATAGAAACATACTTACACTGTGATGAAGTAATCTCTTTATTGCATCCACTAGGCTAGCTCTGTACTGGTCCAGAAACAGGCTGACATTGAAAAGGGAACAGTATTTAGATTAAAAAGGGGTTTCATTTCTAATGATTCTAATGCAGATAAGTATAAGGCTAATTACATATATTTATACACTGCTATGAAGAAAAACTGAATCTAAATTCTTCTCAGTTCATGGTTTCTAAACAAATTCTGAAACTTGTAACCAAACTGAAACTTGTCTGAGACTAAAGACCAAAGGATTACCAAGACATGCTTTTAACTGAACTACTTTTAAGATAAATAATTGGGTTATACAATCGGAATTAATACAATGTACAATGAATAAATCCCATTCTATTTCTGGAGGAGAAATTAATATTAAAACAGGCTGTCCTCTGCATTTTATAGAAAGATTCAATTGGTTTTGCTTATTTCTAAAAATATGTATATATTCTGTACATTCATTTTTAACTGTCAAACAAGTCTTTTTAGCTGAAATAATACATAAAATTAAAAACCTGTCTAAAATTAAACAAGATGCTCGAAAAGAGAAATAAAAATAAACATGGCACTGTGAAATTTATTTAGCCAAATACCACAGGGGCTTGCAGAATAATTCAAAAGAGAACAAGGATACCTCATTGATAGGATAATTCATATATGCCCACTATATCTTATATGCTTATTTATATATTTTTGTATGTTTAAGCATTCTTTTTTCTTTTACCCAAGCAGTGTAGCAAAAATTGCTAGAAAATTCATTTTCTTCTCCTCATCAATTTGTTAGAGGCACTAATTTGATTCCATGGTAATTCCAGCAAGAGCTGAAAAGAATTCAGCTCTGTAACTTTATAATGTTGCAATGATGCAGTGCATGTTGCTATTGCTTACATTAACGGGATACATTGCTTTAATTTAATTACATTTAATTATCAATTAGTTTAGCTGTGTTCTCCATTTTTTTTTATTCTGATACCACTTGTAGGAATATGACCTCTGGCATGCCACTCCAAGGCCCCTCAGATCTGGTAAACCTAACAGGTATGTTAAATTTTTCTGCAAAATGTGAAAAAAAGGAGAGCGACATATCAATTGGTTTTACTCCCAACTGAAAGAGTAGTTCTCTATTCTTTCAACTGGGAGGAAAACCAATTGATTTTGCATCAACTTTGTATATCCCTAAGGTGGTGTGATTTTCACTGGCCCAGGAGACTCACCAACTGAAATTTAGCTGAATATCAAAATTGCAACTTCTATTGTCCTCTGTGCTATTTCAGTAAAAAGTGTAGTTAGAATGGCTGAGGTGACTTGGTTTAAGCATATGCAGAAGCTCATTTAGATGAAAGAGATTCCAGAAAAACAAATTATATGGAGGCGATATGATAGTCCATGTTATAGTACATATTTTATGTTTTGTTTGTGAATTATTACTAGCATTTGTGAAGCACTGATATCTGTTTACATTTAATAAGTTTCAGTATCACATCTTTTTATTATGCATGTAATATGACAGCCAAGTGCTACCATTTATGATCCTTCTGATACAAATCTGAATAGTTCGCTCTTCATCATCATTAGCAGTTCTGCATAACTTCAGTAAACAACAAAGCTGTCAGGCACATTCATTATGGGGAGAAATGGAGCCCTTATTTCCACACCATCAGATCGTTATGTAAAATGAAAACAAATGGGAAAACTTGATGAAAATGAACAATAAATTATTATTATTATAAAATTCTGCAACCCTATGCATGTTCTTGGTAGCTATCATGAATTTTATAACAATATGCAGTTAGTGCTAACTGTAGTGAGAGCTATCAGAGGAAATCAGAAATGGAATTCACATGAATCAGTCTTGAAACTAGAACTATCTGTAAATGGATGGACTGATGCCTGAAATAAATGCATACTTGTCATTCATATAAAAATGGAAGAAGTAGAGATACTTCCTCTATTAAAATTCAGGTGATAATCTCTGCCTCCCCAAACCCATGTCATCTGTACTTATCTCTTGCCATCCTGTTAGCTCTGTACTTTCTGAGGAAGAATATCACTGTTTTTATTTATTTTGTTTTCTAGCAGAAACTCCATTAAAAAAAACCCTTCTCCTTCACATTAATCAAAGCCACAAAAACAGTTTCCATTTCATTCTCAGATGCCAACAATTACTCCATTGTTTATATGGCATAATATATTGAACTAACATTTTTCTTTAAAAAAAAAACCTGCACCAAATGCCTCAACATTTGGCTATACATGTTAAATTCATAACCACTGTAGTCACTTTTTAAATAGTTTTAATGCAGAAAAATTCCACTGTGATTAATTCATCAAAATAGAGCTGGAAGAGACCTTGGAGGTCTTCTAGTCCAACCCCCTGCTCAAGAGGAGACCCTATACCATTTCAGATAAGTGGCTGTCCAGTCTTTTCTTAAAAACATCTAGTGATAAAGCACCCACAACGTCTGAAGGCAAGCTGTTCCACTGGTAATTGACCTGTTAGGAAGTTTCTCCTTAATTCCAGGTTGCTTCTCTCTTTGATTAGTTTCCATTTGTTATTTCTTATCTTGCCTTCTGGTGCTTTGGAAAATAAATTGATCCCCTCCTCGTGGCAGCCTCTCAAATACTGGAACTGTGCTATCATCTCTCCCCAATTCTTCTTTTTTCTAGCTGGATGATCTAGTGATCATCTAGCTTTGCCCATAGATACATCAAATTTCAATAGCCCATTAAGAAATGCAAAAATACAGCTGATTTAATGACTTAGAGAGAAAAAAGATGAGGAATCTATGTACTTCCAGTCAATGCTTTCCCAATTCCTGGGCATTTTATCTGCAGTGGGAAAGATTACTTGCTCTGGCAGCTTCAGGTAAGTCAAGCCATGACTGAAAGTATCAGATAAATGCACAGGATAGTTTGAGATTTGGTACGGGATTGTTGTGGCTCCAACTTGATAAATGAATGGTATAAAACAGTTAACATGGATCTTTTACTTCCAGTTACCATTCTTTATATAATGGTTGAAGAAACTATTTCCCCTCTTATGTGCTTTAAACTGTATATAGAAACCTGCCTAAAAATTAGTACTGAATTCCTTTTATCTTATTCTGTGTTGTAAGTATACAACACTATAAAATAGTTTTCTCTAATATGTTTTATTTTTTTCTGAATATTCTTTATTCAGTACTCCCAAAATTTCCTAACTATAGATTAGCTAGTTGCAAGTTATTTAATCTTGTTTTTTAATTTATTTTATATCTGGCCTGGCCTGATTTAAGTCATAGATTATTGTTGCAATTACTAAATATGGTAAACTTTTATTAATTTCCTTTCTATTTCTGTGCACCAACTATTTCAATATCAGAATGCAAGCATAGATATAATTGAAGAATTTTAGCAGAACACTAGTTTTTGTAATCATGCATATTTTATATGAATCTCAATCTAACTTTGCAATTCATTTATGAACGGAGCCTACTTTATTCTTGTTTTAATAAATGGAATCAAGTAGTATCAATGGCTAGCTAATCAGAGCATCATACTATGCCAAAACAATATAATAGAAACCTGTCATTTCCCTTAATATTTGAACCAAGGTTTCTGCTGTATTCTAATTCCAGAGCTTAACGGCTGACAATGATCTGGATAATGTTGTTAAATGGATATTACAAAATTATTATACCTGTTTTTTGTTTTCATTTCTACACAGTTTTGAAATCTCTTAAATATTAGCACATGAACACACAGTTCATACATAGCTATAAAAATTACCCAATTTTTTAAATGAAATTCCCAATAAAAAAAATGAAAATATATTTTATGTCAACCTAGTAATTCAGATTATATATTACATACAGCTGTGTAAATTATTTCTGTTTGAAAAAGAAAAATGCAATATTTGGTTCCTCAAACTAATATGTGGCTATGCTTATGCAGTACAGTACTTTGTCTCAGATCAAAATGTAGTTCAGCTTTTTAAATGTTAAAAGCTTCTAGTATGCTATTCTTTTGGTAGGCATTAATTAAAGCATGTTTGCTTTAATACTGTGATAAATCCACAGAACTAGGTGCATTTTATATCTACTAGTGAATGTATATCTATTAACCATAATTCTTTGTTTTCTAGTAAGACAACAATTCTTTTGGGAATTCTAGCAATTTATTCATTAGACAATAGAAAAAATAGACAACATAATACATAGTTTTTAAAAAGTTAAGTTAAATCTTGTTCTTTCTGATATTCTCTACCAAGTAAATTGGATGACAGCATAGGTATTAGGCATAAATGAGATACAATAGTCAGGTTGTTTTGATATTTGTGTGAAGAACAAATTTAACTCAAAATCTCTTGGCAAACCTTGCTTCACCCACATAATCTGGAGAACATCCCTATGCAAGCCTTGTCTAAGCCTCTGAGAAGACTGCTGCCCTCCTGCTCACGTCCGCCAGAATCTGATCTGACTTTCATACTTAATCTGATCTAATCCTGTCCAGCATTAACTTCATCTGTGCAATGAAACCCAGAGTATCCATTCTAATATTTGGTGAGGAAGGCATTTACTAAATTACTTGCTGAAATCATATGGTGTTGTTTAGCTCCTTATTTTAATCAGATGATGCATCTCTGAGGCACATTATCAGCGATTAGTTAGAAACCCATGTCTGTCCTTTTTGGGAACAAAGAAGTTTTGCTGAAAGGCTACGCATTGGGAAAAGAAAGCTTGTTTCATTCATTGGTTAGAAAAGAAAAAGCATTATACAGAACTAGAAATATTTGATTAAAAAAGCATTTTCAAAATCATGTCTATAGCTCATGAATTTAATTCACTGTTTTAAAGGACACAATAGTTAGTTTCTTCTTTAAACTATTCAGTTTCTACAGTCACTTAGATATATTTATAAAGCATATTTGCATTAAAAATCTGTATTTATTCTTCTTATCGTGCATGTCAATTGCTTCACAGAAGTCAGTAGCCAAAATCTCATGGACTGTCTCAGACCAGCATCCAAGAAGCCACACAAAATTGAATTATGTATTTATGTGAAATAATATTCCTGTTAAAATGTATTTTCAAAACATACTTCAAATTAAATTATTGTGGACTTTATACAATTAGATAAGCCACCAGAAATAAACATTTTTTTTAATATCAACATTCAAATTTACTTAGATACATAACAAAACATTTGTAACTTGTCAATCAACCAATGCTTAATATGTTTTTTTCTCTGATTTCTTTTTATTGCAATTGATTTACTAATTTTAATACCTGAATATAACTAAGGAAATGGCTGTTGTTATTTTCTTGGGCAGCTTTAAAAAATGGAGAGAAAATTCCCAAATATTTAATGGGAACACAGAATATATATCCTCTTATATCAATAGTCAGATCTTTCCAAAGAAGTAAGCTAATTGAGCTGTTTGTGTTGATAAACTCCCTTTTCTCCAGACTGTTCCTCACTGAGCCATAATTATTTGCAATTTGCCTAAGTCGTCCATTTACTGATACATCAAGCATGAAACAGAGGCAATTCCAGAAAATGGAAATGCTTCTCAAAATCAATCTTTGGGAAATAATGTGGTAGAAGTTACTGTGTGATAGAAGACTACCTTAGAACTGTCACATGGAGATGAATATTAATTTGTTGAGGTTAAGATGGCTTTGTGCTTCATTTGTTGACTTTGCTTAGCCATCAGCAAGAACAGTACAATTACTTCAGCAAAGCTTTTTTTTCCCTCACATGAATTTTATGATTTTTATGTACTTACCAGTCAGCACACATAACAATGTCAAAATGTCCTTCCAGTTGAGAGACATCCGTCTCATTATCCCATCGTAAAATGCTAGAAAGAAAGAAATTTTTTTTAAAACTGGACTTATGTGTTTTCTCTTTTACATTTCTAAAAAAGGTGCATTTAATATGTTGACCCAGAATCAAAAGAATTGATTATTAAAAGTACATAACATGATCACAAGGAGTGCATATAGACGTATAAATTAGTGACATCCATAATAAATATAGCTTTATATGAACAGCTGATTAAAGAATTCCTGTAAGTAAAGCAGTATATTCAAGAAGTCTACAGTTTTGCCCCTTACTAATTAAATTGGTTTCCTTTAGCTTTTTAGGAAAGACAGAGAATAAGCATTCTTGAAAATATGCCAACATTATACTATTAAGGTTTGCTCTTGACTAGCTCATGTTTAATTCTAACATCTAGAATATAAAAAGAGTTTTAAATTTCATTTCCAAAACAAAATTATGAATAATTGGAATGAGAGATTATTTCTTTAAAAATAAAATTTACAGTATATGCATATTGTTTAAAAGTTCTTTTATTACAAAATGTATTATGTTATGGCTTTTTTGTGATTTGTTATAAAAAAATACATGTTTCATTTGCAATCATTGGTACAAAAGCTAAGAAAAGCTAGAAAGAAAGGGGAATGATATATTCAGTCTGATACATTTTCCATTTTAGGACATTTTATTCACTAATGACAACCATTTCTGATTAAGATCATCTGCAGCAGTGGTTTATATGATTCATATTTATGGTTTATACATAATATTTTCTTTGTGAAAAATTGTTTTATTGTTCCACAATATATCTTATGTACATAGAATATTACTGAATTAGAATCCTTGAGAAAAATCATTGTTGATGTACAACATCATGCGGGAAGAATATCATGTGTAGAATATCAGACTAACAAAATAATAATGCAGAACTCACTCACTAATTTACCCTCCTGGAATGTATTTGTGCCATTCCAAAGGGGGAAAACAGTAGGTTAATTTAATCACCGCACAACCCCAAGTACATACAAGCATGCATATATAGACCCATATATTCACACCCATTTAAACTATAAAGCGGGCACACATTTTCAAAACCTAGGTGGCTTTGCAAACTGGCACTTTCAGGGCTCAGCAGGCATCCACTAGTGGAAAGTGACAAAGGAGAGTTCTCACTCTCAGCTGCTGACTGCCTGCTGACTACTGGCGGCTTTTTCAACCCTGTTTCCGTGGAAACTTAGGTTACAACAGTGAAAATTAGGTAAAGGTAAGTTGGTGGGGTTGCTAGTTTTCATTTGATTTTTTTTAAAAAACACACACACAAAAAAAAGAAAAAACCCTGAAGCTGCAATAACAGCTAGTGGTTGAGTTGCTAACTTTAAAGGCCATCACTAGTCTGTCATTCCACTGAAAGGCAATCCATGAAGACAAATAAGAACTGCAAAGTTTATGATTATTTTTTTCCTAAATCCTTTTTATTTGTGTCTATCTGTCCTACATATAATAAAGATGACTCAGTAATTGTCCAGCATTAACCACTACACTTTGAAGGCTTCTGGATTCTTAATCTTATTCTTGCATTATACATTTCACTAGATTATTTTTTTAATTTCAAAAGAGCCTTACTCTAAAATAACCGAACAAATTCCAGTGCGCGCGCGCGCACACACACACACACACACACACACACACACACTATTCATAAAAACTAGGTAACTGGCTCAAAATATATTATATGCACCTCCCCAAATTTTGAAGAAATATCTCTGATTCATTTTCAATTATCTAATTTTTAAACCAGAAGAGATATTTAATTTTTAGGTTTGAATAATGGAATCAGCTTTTGAAGGGGGTAGAAAGAAGTAACAAATGCTTACGTCTGCCACCTTCTGATATTTTCCCTTAGCATTTTAATTGGGAAGGTATCAAAAAATCTTTTTCAGAGGATACATAAAATAATAGATTTCCTGGAGCAAGCTCAGAATAGTTATTTTGTTTTAGTCAATTCAAGATCGTTAAGACACATTCAAATGTGAGAAAGTGAGAACTAGCACATGTTACTACTTCTATTCTAGAAGTTCTAGTTGCAGATATACGACTGTCTTTGAAAACTTTCCAAATACCCTTTTAATAATCCCATGTTAATTTTCCTTATGTAAGGGCAGTAAATCATAGCTCTTTAGTACAGGACATGCAAAAGGTTCTCAGTTTCAATTTGAGTTAAGGATTTGGAAATTAAAAGGATAAAAGAAGCAGGTGATCTCCGCTGAAGATAAGAAAATCATTGTCTTCAAAGCAGACAACAGTGCAATTTAGGAAACTTCTTTATACAAAGTCAGATAATTGATCCCTTTGGTATATTTGATTCAGTGCAATCTATATTGAATGGAAGCAACTCTCCATAATTTCAGACATATGTTTTGGCCATCTCTATAAATTCTTCCATATTAAGGTAGATTGATAAATAATGCCACCTTTTCCAATTTTTTAATGGAATCCCATCATGGATTTAAATAAACCAAACAACGATGCATTACTATAACTATGACAGGTTAAAGGGCAGAAAGGAATGGCTTATTATCTTGAAATCTTATTTTCTCCCAGTAGTATAATTCAAACCACAATGCATGGTAATTATAATTTGTGAATATCTATGGAGATTCTCAGTCATCCCGGTCATAGTTGTCCCAAAGTTGCTTTTTCATGAAGCTACTGGACATTCTAGTTTTTCTTTGAAGTCCACATTTTGGACAGAGAGGACCACTGGTTTGAAGAGGGGTCAAAGAGGCCATCTGTATCAAAACTGAACAGCCCTCTTTCAACAAAGGGGGAAGGATACAACATCATTTATCACCAGGCTACAACACAGATCTTTCAATAGTTTCAAGAAGGTTCCACACCCATTTGCATTACTCAAGTGACCCTGATGACACAGATAAACGTCCAGATGGCTTGATGACTCTCTGAAAGAATACAAATGATCAGCTGACTGCAAGGAGTATAAATCCTTCCATTCCTCACCATCCAGTCAGAACTGAAGAAGCTTCTTGGATGAGAAGCGAAACGTCTTCAAAGAAAAACAAGAAAGTCCAGTTGCCTCGTGAAAAAGCATCTTTGGTATATCATTTGTGAATCTACATTTGTAAGGCAGTAAAAAGTCTGAGAAAGCTTATTCCCCCATCAAGCCTGGAAGATATGATCTGTGTTTATCTAGAAGCAAAATAACATCATTCCAAAAATACTTAATCTATACTAAGGAAACACAATGTATCATATATTTAGTGTCTACCTAAATACATAATGCAGAGTTTAGTGATAGCATATGTAGGATAAAAGCAACTGTATGTATCATAATTCTGCCTTAGTCAACTAACTCCTGCAGAACTTAATCTATCCAGAGGAATTATGAAATAGGTATAAATGGGAATAGAATAGAAAGAGCCAGTTTGGTGTAGTGGTTAAGGCACCAGGCTAGAAATTACAAGAGTGTGAGTTCTATTCCTGACATGGGCATGAAAGCCAGTTAGATGATTTTGGGCCAGTCAGTCTCTCTCAGTCCAATTCACCTCACAGGATTGTTGTGAGGAAAATAGGAGTAGTAGTATTGCATGTGTTCAGCACCTTGAGCTATGTATAAAAATGATAAAGGTGGGATATAGCAGAGGCCCCCAACCTTTTGGGCACCAGGGACTGATTTTTTCCACAGACTGGAGGGGGCATTGTTTCGTATGCTGCTTGCATCCCGCCGATGGGGTTTCGCTTGTTTGTGCGGCCCGATTGCTGGTATGCCATGGCCCGGTGCCAGTCCACGGACTGGGGGGTTGGGGACCCCTGGGATATAGAATAAATAAATAAACATGTTATTGACTAAATCCCCAAATGCAAATAAACTTCAGTTTACATTGTGAATAAAGTGTGGGAATATTGCACCTTGATGAGCTATCACACATCCTCCTTTGACGGCTGGAATGGCAGATCAAAAATATATAACTCAATGTTCTTTACAATGGCAGAAAAACACATATTAACTTTAGATTTTGATTGATCAGGGATGATATCATATTCCCCAACTGATAAATTCCCAAATATGGAGAATACAGAAAGTATAAATAAGTGCACACCAATGAAAGAATGTAAGCCTTGCTAAAGAAAATATGGAAAAATATTTAAGTGGGGAACCATTTCTTCATAAGTGATTTTCAGTGAGAATCTAATCCTAGATACTGTTTGTTGCAGGTGCAAGGCGAGAGTGACATAATTATTTCATTCTTGAACTTTTTTGCAATATTTACTTACAAGGACACAAAAAACTGGATATTCTTTTCAATCACTTAAAAAATAATAATGCAAACAGAAGTCATAAGATTAAAATATGACTACAGTTTAATTAATATTTATTACACTATGAAATATAACATATTTATGCATAATTTTTAAAATGCCAGTATTATTAACATTCCTGTTCCCAGATAAGATAGAAAAATAAAACCATTAAAACAATAAAGCAACTATTGATTTATAATTATGGTAAAGCAGTAAGGAGAGCCAATTGGTGTAGTAATTAAGGTACCAGGCTAGAAATTGGGAGACCGTAAGCTCTAGTCCTGCCTTAGGCACTGAGCTAAATGGGTGACTTTGGGCCAGTCACTCTCTCTCTCAGGCCTAGGAAGGAGGCAATGGCAAACCACTTCTAAAAAAATCTTGCCAAGAAAACTGCAGGGATTTATCTAGACAGTTGCCAGGAATGGATGAATGAATGAATGAATGAATGGTACCACAGAAGTCTCATTCAGGAGAACTCTAGAAAGACTAGGTGCTGCAACTGACAAGTTTCTCCCAATCAATACTCAGGTCACCTGTGAAGATGTGGTGAATGGTCAAAGCAGTTGCCCCTCTTTCTATTGTTACAGAGGAAATTCCTTCGGAGAGGAAATTACATTTAAATCTGTGATCAAACTTAATATTTTATGCAATATTCTTGGTGGCTACCATATGATAAATACTCCTTTTTTTCTCCTCCCAGCGTAGGACATAGCTTTCCAG